CAGGACTACAATAATTCTGAGTGATTTGTGGCACGATTATAATGAAATGCTTTGGCTTTTGTTGTTTTGGGACTTGATGTTTGTTTTATAAGACTTGATTATATGGTTCAATGATGTATAAGAGTGTAAATTTTAAAGAAAAGTGGAAACAATCTAGTTTGAAACATGTCAAGTTGTTTGAAATGTAGTCTTTGTATAAAGACTTTCTTGTATTAAAAAAAAAAAAACATTTAAATTGAATGACTCCAATATCATATGAAATATCATAAATTATTAATTTATAAACATAAAAAGTTTATAAATTATTAATTTATAAACATAAAAAGTTTTGGGGAAGTGCACAATAGCACCACACAAAATTTTACAATCTGAATTAACCTTGTCTTGTCATGGAAAAAAGAAGAAGAACAACAACAACAAAAAGATATTCTAAGAGTTTTATTGACCCTGCTGTTTTGTGCATGTTTCTGTATGTTGGTTGCTTAGCCTATTGTAGTTAACTAATACTAAAACCATTTAACAAATATTTTAGCTAGTTGCCAGGTTTCTCATTTTCAGTTAGTTTAATTTCAAGTTTAAAAATAACTAAAACTGAAATAATAATAAAAAAAATTATTTAAAGACATTTAATCAAAAACGAATAAAAATGACAAAAAAATACTAAAACTTTAACTAAAATTAAAACGGAAATGGAAAGTATAAAAAAATCTTCTAAATATAAAATGATCTCAGTGATACTACAATAACACTGGCACATTGGCAGACAAAAGATTTTCAAATGTTAATAAGCAGTAAATCACTTTTGTTTGTTTATTTATTGTAAAAAATAATAATACATTATGACAAACAACCTAATTCTTACTAAGAAACCATTGTTTCATTCTTTTAATGAGGCTTTTTCTGTATTATATCAGAACAGTTGTACCACCTGACATTTCTGACATTATGCCTCCCCCAAAAATGATTAAAATTAATTGAATTTTTTTTTAACACAATCATCATACATTCTTAAAAATAAAGGTTCCAAAAGTCATGCTTTTCACAGTGATTCTATAAAATAACTTTTTTTTTTCATTCCTCAAAGAGCCTTTTAATGAAAAGTTCTTAAAATATAAATTTTTCTTAGTCTGAAAAACGTTTTAAAAGTCTAAAAAACCATTTTTTCCACTATAAAGAACTTTTTTTAAATAATAATAATAATAATACATCCGGACCAAAAAAAAGAGCCTCATGTCATTGAGCCATATAAAAAGGAGAGCGTCTAGCCTATAAAAGCATCATGTATTGAGAATATGCTGAGCACAGCACCGAGAAACACACTTGATATTCGTTCTTGTATTTAAACAGTTGTGAAAACACAGTCGTCCTTCTTACCGTAATGCAATCTGATTGTTGTTATGGAGAGTAAATCCACTGCAGTAGACAGTTTCTGTAATGTCAGGTGGATTAACGTTTCAGACACAAACGTTTAGACTACATGACAGGGTGGGAGCCAGTATCTCTGGCACTTACACAGGACCACCTGCCAGTTTCTTCCTTTCTTCCTTCACACTTTAAAACACATACCTATTTCATTTCAAATACAATGTTACTTTTTTTCTTTGAAAGGACTTGTTTTGGCATTTCTGAATGTTCAGTGTTACATTCCTGTCAGTATTTATGTGATTTTGTTACCCACACTGAAGGAAGTCCCCCTTCTCTGCTTGCAAAACATGAAAAGTGCATACTTCAACAGTATTTGGCACCACAGACAGATCAAGGACTATGGTTAGGTTGCATATTCTTATGTAACAGTAGCAGGGGGGAGAGTTGCTCTCAGTCAGCAAAGTACAAATACAGTGTGAGGAGGTGTACGGTTACCGTAGTATATCCGTAGTGTTACAGTGCATTTGAGAGCTGTGCAGGGAATCTATATGTTTGACCTAGACAGTATCCTCTAGGTTTGGCTCCAATCATGAGCTTGGCCTTCCTCCCGAAGTCTTCGGCCCACCCTGATTGTCCAATAAAAAAATTTAATTTGTTTTTTTAAAATGACGAACTAGTTTGGAGGTCTGTTTCACAGCTTTATGTCTTGGAAGGGGCAAAGATTGTGATGGCAGAACATCAGAGATAAAAAAAAAAACAGGTTTTAGTACATTACCTGATAGAAAAAATGAGATTTAAAGGGATAGATCACCAAAAAAAGCTCTGTCATCATTTATTTGATTTATTTTGTATAACACAAAATGAGATATTTAGTAGAATGTGCAAGATGCTCAATTGACCCTTTGCAGGGAGTTTGATTGACAGGCGATCTGACCAATCCTAACGCCGAATGCGCCATTTTGTCCAACAAACAAACCAGACAAGAGAGAGTAGATTAATGTCCATGGACTTGAACTTGAAAAATTGTGTGTATTGACGTGTTTCCGCTGTTGAAATAAGACACCTTCTGATGCTCATTCATGTTTATTTCATGCTATAAGTAAAGAGTAAGAGATGATTGGTTCACATGCCGTTTGAACGACACATTAAATGGTATTTATTGTTTGAATTTCAAAAAAAAAAAAAAAAAAGACCAAATTTGAAAGCTGAGGTTTTGTTTCATACCAAAAGTAACCTGCTCTCTCTTGTCTGTCGGCGTGTTGTCAGTGTCCTCTTTGCTCCTCTATGTATTTTTCAAAGAAAAAAAAATTACAACAGAAGTGGCTCATGTGAGTCGTGCACTATATTCCAAGTCTTCTGAAGTCATATGAAATAAAGATGATTTAAAATATGAATATTAGATTAAAAAAATATTTGAACTTAAACTGCCCTGCCAACTTACTACAATTAAGTAATTTTAAGTTGAAGTACTAAAATGGCTTGTCAATGACTGAAATGACTAACAATCAAGTTACATAGAAATTAAGCTATATAGAAATATTTTTAAAAAGCTATTAAAATGTATAAAAGCTTATAAACTTACTAAAATGAAAACTGATCATATAAAAAAAATTTACATTCATACACAGTAAACACTGATTCAGAGAGTACTGATAAAAACTATAATTGTATATAATAATGCTAAAATAGCACTGGAAATACATGGGCCTAGAAATGTGATGTTCAGTATTTTTTATCTTTATAAATATTTTTATTAGCAACACTATTTCCTCATTGTACAGTTGCTTTGAATAAAAGCATCCGCCAAATTAATACATGTAAATCACTAACAATAATGTACTGTACAATGATGACAGAGAAAGCTATCAACTGGCAACACTTTTTATACATTTTCACAAAAGGCAGTTGAAAAAAGTTTCCCTGATTTGATCAATTTCGAAGATGCAAAAACCACCAGTATAGATAACACAGTCCATTACATGTATGCCTAAAGAAGTTGTTCCCACAATTAATAATTCATTTACAGTTAAACTGTAGCGAAATCTGGCCACGATTTACCTAAAACAAGGGAACAAATTCTTAATTTGTGGCCATGATATCTTAATTGAGCAGGGCAAGGTTCCATCATTTCCTGAACATGAATGGAAAAAATATGTTTGTGCATTGAAATTACTCCTCACATAATCACTAGAGGAATATGAGCAGTAGACAGTATTGTATGTTTGGATGAAGCTGGTGCCTTAAGTTGGTGAGGGTGTGAAGAACATCCAGAAAGAACATCCTGACCCAGAGTAGCTTTAACATCCTGCTGGAATAAAACCTGACACGCATTTCTTCACTCTTCATCATTACAACAACATTCAGACTGTAGCGCTTCATTGACATCTTGTGGTCAGTTCATTAAACAACACTTCATATTGTGTCAAAAGAGCAAGTTTTTTTTTTTACAAGTTGTTTGAACTGAAATGTGTGTTGGCAGTGTGTGTACACAACCACCCTATAATGATAAAAATCCACCCAGTGTTTTTTTTTTAATCTCGTTAAATGTTTTCCCCTTTCTCAAATCGAGCCGATCTCAGATGCCTGTCTGTGTAGCGTCACAAAAACAGGCCCCTCCCACGATAGACATTGATTGACAGTAGCGTTTCAGCACAGACTGGACTGGCGTCTTACCTTAGACCCGCCCTGAGTGAGCTGTCATCAGTCCGCCATTGTTTCACTGCTGGAGCAGATGTAGACAAGAATGACTCCTAATGCAGAGTTCACACTGCACGATTTACGAAGACGTCACATCACTGTTGGTTTCACACTGAACGACTATCTGGGGTAGCATTCAGTTGTTGCTGTGTTCACATTGCACGATGGAACGACGACAGGAGGTTACACACTGCATGACTTTACAATAGGAAGAATCGCCGACAGCTCTGTCTGGTGCAGGGTTGCCAGGTTTTCGCTACAAAACCCGCCCAATTACTACTCAAAACTAGCCTGAAAATAGCCCAATCGCTTTCGAGGGGGTCCCCCAGTAAAAATCAAGTTCGGGGGTAAAATACACATTTTTTTGGCGGGGTTCTCCTGGTACAATTCACATTCCAGGGCCTAAATATCACATTATTGGGGTCGCTTCAACCTGCTGACATAAAAAACAACCGGCGGCAATCGCGGATTTGGCAACACTGGTGAATCTTTGCAAATCGCCTTTCCTAATAATGTGCTAATTAGCAAGTTTCACGATGAATACAGCTAAAGTAAACAGTCTGTGAGAGCAGCTCGGAAGAGAGGGGCAGGGTCAGCAGAGCTCATTAACATTTAAAGGAAAATGCTACAAAACAGCGTGCTCTGAAAAGAGCTGTTTTTGACAGGGTAAAAAAGGTGTTTTTTTACACTACCATTGAGAAATTTTAACCAAACTATGTTACAGACTTTTCATTAAGACCCTAAAGAATCATATCAACTTAAAACCGTCTGGGCCGGTATATTCGAGCAAAACTGGCCACAATTCAACAGCCTATTAATGTTACTATTGGGTTTTTGGTATTTATTGTGAATTATTATCTTACCATTTAAAAGAAAATGCGGACATGAAATACTGATTTGAATAATAATTTCTTTTATTTGTAGAGATGTATGCCTAAGTCAGTTATACAGTGTAGTACTGGAAAACGGTCATTATTCAGAAATACACATGAATATTACGAACGTACCGATTAAAATCAAGTATTCCAAAGAGCAATTGTAATACATTAAAAATACACTGCATTATTACTAAATCAATAATGCTTTTTCTATCCTCACTATACTTGATAAACTATAGCGTTTTGTAACGGTTTTTGTAGTTTACCGTAAACAGGTTTCAAATTGCACAATCAACAGTTCAAGGGCAATATTAATCAAAACGATTAATAAATATACAAAAGACAGAAGCTGGTGTTTAAAACTCACATCGTATGGCTCAGTTTCTCTTGTAAGCCCATGAAGATCTGATTCATGTACAGTATACTACAATTTCTCAACACAAGTAAATACTGTAAAATGACTCTGCAGTCAAGTGTGGAATGAATAGATTCACTTGACCAACAAACTGTTAATAATGTAGCTCAGCTCATCTCATTGAATCATATGCACAGTAGTGGATTAAAATTAGTTTTCCAGCAAAGACAACAAACCCCTGAAACTGAATCTCAATTCAATTTGAAGGAATTTCAGTCAGTGCCATATCAGTGCCTTTTGGAAAATGAACGGAACTTCAGGTTTTTCATTCGATTACATTTAGTTGATTTGTAATTTTCTTCTGATGTTAAAAGAGTTTAGTTGGTATACCTCTGGTATAAATCTTTCAAATACATCTAGTTTCATTCAATGCCATGGCCATTGATTTAAATCCCAGGGAAATTTAAAATGTAATAAATAAATGTACATTTAAGAATGTAAATCTATATTTGTATTGAGAAAGAAAAAGAAACACCTTAAAATAGATAACATTGCAAGCCAGGTTTGAAAATCTTCACCAGGACAAGTCAAGTTAGAGTAGGTGACAAGGACATGCAGACTAATTTTTTCCAGCTAAAATAAATTTCAATTGTTTTTGTCGTCCACAAACCTAAATCTGAGCTTGAGCTCTTGAAGCAGCTTCGACTTTGCAGTTTCCCAGCTGTCTTCCCAGCCTAGAAATCAAACAACCAACTTGTAACCAACTGTACTATTTTAATATTTAATATTACACGCAAATATTTCCACCTTGACAGAAGAACTGTTTACTCTGATTATTATGAATTGTTTTTGAATTATACTGCCATTCTAAAGTCTGGGGTCAGTATTTTTTTAAAGAAATTAACACTTTAATTCAACAAGAATGCATTAAATTGATCAAATGTAACAGCAAAGATATTTACAGTGTCATGTTACAAAAAGTAAAAATTTTAATTAAAAAAAAAAACTGTTCTTTTGAACTTTCTATTCATCAAGGAATCCTAAAAATGTATCATGGTTTCCACAAAAATATTAAGCAGTGCAACTGTTAACATTGACAATAAGAAATGTGTCTTGAGCAGCAAATCAGCATAGTAGAATGATTTCTGAAGAATCATGTGAGCTTTGCATCACAGGAATAAATTACATTTTAAAATATATTCAAATAACAAAGTTCTTTTACATTTAAATACTATTTCACAAAACTACAGATCTACTCTATTTAATCATAAACTGTATTTGATCAAATAAATGCAGCCATGGTAAGTTTCAAAATTACATTTTGCAAGACTTTCAGAAACATTCCAAAATCTCACTTTTTCCCCCAAAACTTTTGAACCGTACTGTATTTACAATGCATTAAAATATTTATAAATAACATTAAACCTTTATTGAACATTTATGATGTTGTGAGTGTGTATGTGAGCTCACCTGGACTGCAGCAGGTTAACGGAGCAGAGAAAGTAGCCTTTGCTCCAAGCACCTCTTCTGTGTCCTCAAACACTGGCTGTGGCAGATTCTGCTTTTTGAACCACTCGTCTACAGAGTTTCTCAAAGGTGCATTGTCTGCTTCTGTAAGTGGTTCAGAACAGAATGACAATCATTAAATGATCATTTTCTAATAATGTACTTTAAGAAAGACAAACTGGTTGGTGTTCATTGGCTCTGACCTGTCTTTACCCCCAGCAGACCCAGTATGCGTTCACTGAGATGATTTCGAGCTGCTTTCTTGTTGCTTTGGCATGTGCACTTCAGCGTATAGTCACAGAAAGACAGCTGGATAGAGGCCCGTTCCTCAGACTTCAGGTCAATGACAGGCTCTCTCTGACCGGCCCTGTTCAGCATGGAGCTCAGCTGATTCTGAACCTCTTCAGCACTATCAGCTCCAGGTAGTGAAGGATAACCAAAGAGAGGTGATAGTGAATGTAAGGTGTTCTGGAGAGCACGTAACTTGGCTTCATCCTCTGAAGATCCTAAAAAAGACCATATTATATTTGAACACAATGGCATTCATACAAGTATTACATGTTTTGTTACACTTCTGTTCCCAGTTAAAGAATATATTGCTTTAAGAAGCAGTGTAAAATGAAAATAAATGAATATGATTGACTGTGTCAAGGTTCATGTTTTAAAATATCTCCCAAAAAACATAATATTTATGAATTATGATAAAAAGAAAAATTTTTTTACATACTTAAAACACTACAATTAAAATGGTATTAAATGTTTTTAATGTTATTGAAAGATGTCTCTTCTGATCATTAAAGCTCCATTTATTTGATAAAAATTACAGTAATAAGAGTAATCTTGTGAAATATTATTACAATTTTAAGTTTTCTATTTCAATATATTGTAAAATGTAATTTATTCCTGTGATGCAAAGCAGAATTTTCAGCATCATTACTTTAGTCTTCAGTGTCACATGATCCTTTAGAAATCCTTCTAATATGCTGATATTATCAATGTTGAAAACACTTGTGCTGCTTAATATTTTTGTGGAAACGGTGATATATTTTTAATAGAAAGTTCAAACAAACAGCATTTATTTGAAATCGATATTTTAACATTTAAATGTCTTTACTGTGTCACCTTTGAATTTGATACATCCTTGCTGAATAAAAGTATTAATTTCTTTCAAAAAATAAAATCAAATAAATGAATAAATAATTATACTGGCCCCAAACTTTTGAATGGTAGTGTAGACTTTTTAAAAGATTTTTCATTTTCTTTATTTGGACACATTTCATTGTCATTGAACCCATAATTGCACTTGATTCTGTTGAGTATAAACTTTTTTTTCTTCAGATGCTCATACTAACCTTGTCCGTCATACTTCACATCGTAAGTTATGTTCTTTAGTGAACAATAAAATGACTTTTCAGATTCTTCAACTTCTTCCTGAGGAAGAGTAAAAGAGTAATCTTGTGAAATATTATTACAATTTTAAGTTTTCTATTTCAATATATTGTAAAATGTAATTTATTCCTGTGATGCAAAGCAGAATTTTCAGCATCATTACTTTAGTCTTCAGTGTCACATGATCCTTTAGAAATCCTTCTAATATGCTGATATTATCAATGTTGAAAACACTTGTGCTGCTTAATATTTTTGTGGAAACGGTGATATATTTTTAATAGAAAGTTCAAACAAACAGCATTTATTTGAAATCGATATTTTAACATTTAAATGTCTTTACTGTGTCACCTTTGAATTTGATACATCCTTGCTGAATAAAAGTATTAATTTCTTTCAAAAAATAAAATCAAATAAATGAATAAATAATTATACTGGCCCCAAACTTTTGAATGGTAGTGTAGACTTTTTAAAAGATTTTTCATTTTCTTTATTTGGACACATTTCATTGTCATTGAACCCATAATTGCACTTGATTCTGTTGAGTATAAACTTTTTTTTCTTCAGATGCTCATACTAACCTTGTCCGTCATACTTCACATCGTAAGTTATGTTCTTTAGTGAACAATAAAATGACTTTTCAGATTCTTCAACTTCTTCCTGAGGAAGAGTAAGAGACCTCTGAGAAAAGTGCTGCTTCACCAGCGCAATGCACATCTTTTCATCTTGAATTAGAGATGAAGAAAAAAGCATTAGTTAAGGAACATAAATCGATTGGTATATTTATATATGAATACATAAATACACAAATATATACCTGAGCTAGGATCCAAAATTTCCATCACACGGCCGAATAACAAGTAGGCTTTTCGAGTGGCTTCTCTCTTAGAGTCGTAACCTTGTTGTTTGTTGACACAAGTATAGTTTTCCAGGTTGACTGTCACAGTACATTTGAAATTCTGATCATGTTTTATGTTCTCCACGTTCACTTGTGGTGGCTTGAGATTATATACATTAAACAGCTCATTGATTTCTGTAAAATACACAAAGATGTACAAGTAGATGAGACCAGAGTTGCAACAAGTACCTTAAACTTGTCACTTCATTTTTTACAGTGTACCACTAGCACTCCCTACTGGTGTCCCCTGCATTAGCACATCATCTTGCTTCCTACATGCTCCATTACCCAGAAGCCCCCTCACTGCAGAACACAAGATCCAGGGGGCGTGGTTGGATCCACATCTAGGGGGTGGAGATTGGTAGGTTTAGGGGTGGAGATGGGTGGGTTTAGGAATCAGGGGGTGGAGACGGGTAGGTTTAGGTATATGTAAGGTGGGAGGAGTTGGATCTGGATCCCACCATGCCCCCTGGATCTTGTGTTCTGCAGTGAGGACCATCTCCCATTACCTGGACAGTCAATCCTGGGCTTTTTCCTCTGTGAAGCTGGGGAGCTGGAGTCTGGAGGGTCTGGCTGCACAGGAACAGGAACACAGACTGACTTTTGGCATGATGGGAGCTGTGCTGATGTGGAGATGCTTTCAGACTTCAGGTCTGAATGCTCTTTCACTGCTGCCTGACTGATAGATACTGCAGACAAAAAGAAAACCCTTACTTTCCAATATTTGGTATGTCCTAAAGTAGGTACAAGGATTTTTTCTAATTTCTTTCCAGTTAAACTCACAGTTTGAAAGATTTGGGCTCATACCGCTGGTGACCGGCTCTTCACTGGTCTTTGCTTTATACTCTTCCGTTTCATAGACGGGATTTTTGAAACCCAGTTGGTCTAGACGCTCCTTCAGAACACCTTTGAAGTTCTTAGTATCTGATACTGGAAGACAGCTGAGGATCCCTGACAGATGCTGCAGAGCAATTTTAGCTGCCTGTTGCTCCGCCTGTCTCTTCTTGATGGAGCCATCTAAGTAAGAAATTAAAACAAACGATCGTAAATGGGTGCATGACACAATGAAAAAAATATATATGACTTTTACATATAAAGAAGTTATATTTTGCTTAAAGATAGGATTTGTTTTGTTTTTTTGGCATTGTGGCAGAAAAAAAAAATGCCAGTACCATAGAGAACCTCATCCTGTCTGGACACAATATAATATGGGTTGTTTACTTTTTTTTTTAATTGTCATAAAAATGTAAGATCTTAAAATGGTCTTAAAAGAGCACATTTTCTTTGGGCAAAATATGTTTTTTTTTTTTTTGACTTTGTTTTGCCGGTGAAATATGACCTAGACATTCACCCCAATAATGTTCAGTCAATGAATAACAGTAGAAATGAATTCACCTTTGTCATAGAAAGTAAAAGGCTCAATGAGTTTGAGCTTGCAGATGGTTGTGTTGTCGTCATCAACAAATTCTTCTGTTAGTTTTTGTAAATCATGCCTGTTGAAATGTTCCATGATCCCCATCCTATACGTCTGACCTGTTGTAGCAAAAATTAAAACCAGGTTATGCTGCTCTGCATATTACATATTTGGCTTACACCAGGGGTGCCCAACCCTGCTCCTGGCGATCGACTGTCCTGCAAAGTTCAGCTCCAACCCTAATCAAACACACCTGAAGCAACTAATTAGGGTCTTCAGGATCACTTAAAAATTAAAGGCAGGTGCCTTTGATTAGAGTTGGAGCTAAACTTTGCAGGACAGTCGATCGCCAGGAGCAGGGTTGGGCACCCCTGGCTTACACTAACACCAAAACAACTACAGTAGCACATATGAGTACTCCTGAAGTATTTTATGTGAAATATTATATGAAATAGTATTTAGCGGCCTCTAGTATAGGTGAAACACTGTACATGTGAATATACTGGCATATGGCTTTATATGAAATCTAACCTAAACATTGCACTTTACCTTCTGCTGGAGCACAGATGTGAAAACGTTCCGACAAAACCTTATAAGCAGCTTCAGCCGCTTCTTCCTTTGAAGAGCATCTATCAGACGCAACTTCTTGATTAAGATCCACAGTCACTTTACCAAAGAAAGTGATTCCTGAAATGTCAAAAATATTTATTTTAATCACATTTCTGTTTGTTTATTCAATGTTTGATAAAGTGTTTTTTTAATACTTTTTCTCTGCTGTTGTATGATCATTTGAAACTTTTTTTTTTTTTTTGCGGTGAGTCTGCTTTTTCAGGCTCTTCGCATTTTAAATATGTCCTGTACACAAAATAAATGAACTTGACAATAAATAAATTGGAGCCATCTAAGTAAGAAATTAAAACAAACGATCGTAAATGGGTGCATGACACATTGAAAAAAATATATATGACTTTTACATATAAAGAAGTTATATTTTGCTTAAAGATAGGATTTGTTTTGTTTTTTTGGCATTGTGGCAGAAAAAAAAAATGCCAGTACCATAGAGAACCTCATCCTGTCTGGACACAATATAATATGGGTTGTTTACTTTTTTTTTTAATTGTCATAAAAATGTAAGATCTTAAAATGGTCTTAAAAGAGCACATTTTCTTTGGGCAAAATATGTTTTTTTTTTTTTTTACTTTGTTTTGCCGGTGAAATATGACCTAGACATTCACCCCAATAATGTTCAGTCAATGAATAACAGTAGAAATGAATTCACCTTTGTCATAGAAAGTAAAAGGCTCAATGAGTTTGAGCTTGCAGATGGTTGTGTTGTCGTCATCAACAAATTCTTCTGTTAGTTTTTGTAAATCATGCCTGTTGAAATGTTCCATGATCCCCATCCTATACGTCTGACCTGTTGTAGCAAAAATTAAAACCAGGTTATGCTGCTCTGCATATTACATATTTGGCTTACACCAGGGGTGCCCAACCCTGCTCCTGGCGATCGACTGTCCTGCAAAGTTCAGCTCCAACCCTAATCAAACACACCTGAAGCAACTAATTAGGGTCTTCAGGATCACTTAAAAATTAAAGGCAGGTGCCTTTGATTAGAGTTGGAGCTGGTTTTTTTTAATACTTTTTCTCTGCTTTTGTATGATCATTTGAAACTTTTTTTTTTTTTTTGCGGTGAGTCTGCTTTTTCAGGCTCTTCGCATTTTAAATATGTCCTGTACACAAAATAAATGAACTTGACAATAAATAAATAAAAAAACACTTGCACTTCCTGCTGGTGTCTCCTGCATTAGCACATCATCTTTCTTCCTACATGCTCCATTACCTGGACAGTCAATCCTGGGCTTTTTCCTCAGTGAGGCTGGAGAGCTGGAGTCTGGAGGGTCCGGCTGCACAGGAACAGTAACAAGGACTGACTCTTGGCATGATGGGAGCTGTGCTGATCTGCAGATGCTTTCAGACTCTGAATGATCTTTCACTTCGGCCTCACTGATGGATACTGTAGAAGTAATCGTGTCCGAGCTGATGTCGATGGACATGGGTTCATCACTGACCTCTGCTTTATTATCTGTGTCATAAACCGGATTTTTGAGACCCAGTGTCTCTAGACGCTCTTTTAGAACACCTTTGAAGTTCTTCTCAGTATCTAATATTGGAGGAGCGTTGAGGATCCCTGACAGATGCTGCAGAGCAACTTTAGCTGCCTGTTGCTCCGCCTGTCTCTTCTTGGTGGAGCCATCTAAGAAATGCAAACTAAACGTCAGCAAACAATAGCTTGTAAATCAGCACACAACTTTTGTGAAAGGAAGATAAATGATGTTTAACAAATGACTAAGAGCAGTTACCTTTGTCACAAAAAGTAAAAGGCCCAACGAGTTTGAGCTTGCAGATGGTTGTGCTGTCATCAAAATCTTCTATTGGTTTGGGGAAGCCATTTGTGTTGAAATATTCCATCGTCACTGACTTGTATGTCTGACCTGTTGCAGCGAGAAAGAAAATCAGGTTTATTGAGCTATTCAGTAAAATCAAATAATATATATTATTTCATCAAAATATGCTATTTGAGTCCTGATGTGTTGAAAGTGGCAATAAACAAATTTTTGCACAAACAGGAAATGGATTTATTTCCAAAAACATTACATGCAAACATGTTTGTATGTATTTGACAGTAATACAATACAATACGTAAATTGTGCTTAAAGTATTTTATTAAACTAAGCATTATTTTAAGGCTTAAAATTGCTTAATTGCTTAACTTAATATTTGTACTTTACCTTCTATTGGAGCACTAATGCAAAAACTTTCCCATAAAACCTTATAAGCTGCTTCAGTCGCTTCTTCCTTTGTAGAGCATCTATCAGACGCAACTTCTCGACTGAGATCCACAGTCACTTTACCAAAGACAGTGATTCCTGAAATGTCAAAATATAAAATGATGTACTGTATCATACATTGATCTCAGTGCACCATAATTCAATAGTACAATTTCATAGTCATATTTCACCTGAGGAAGACGAAGAGGAGGCCTCAGAGTGCATGACTGAGCTTGACGGTTCATCTGTGCTTTCTTGCTGTAATTTCAGCTGCTTGAGGGCAATGAATGCGACCTCCTGATGGGCGGCCTTTTTTTCGTTAAACACCCTTTCGCCAATGAAACGTTGTCCATTTACTGTCACTTTACCTCTGTAACCTGTGCGGAGGATGTGAACTTTATGTGATTAACTGTTGAATCTAACCTGAATGAAAGAATGTCGTCCACTTTTCCTGTATGTCTAAACAAATACATGTTCTATTTGTTTCAAAAGTACGGAAGTTCTAAGCGGCCATGCAATATATTTTTTTTCCTTCTTGTTTTCTCGTTATAACGTCTTAATTTTCTCGTTATCTCGTCATAACGAGAGTTGTTTTCTCGAGAAAATTAAGTCGTTATAACGAGAAAACGAGAAGGAAAAAAAATTATATTGCATGGCCGCTTAGAACTTCCGTACAAAAGGACTATCATGCAATTAATATTAACTGGACAGATGATGAATTTGTTACCTTGGGCTTCTTGATCCTCTGTAAAAACAGGAAATTTGTCCTCTGGCCATTTCTTTGCCTGACAATATTCATAAAGATGGTTTTTGTATTTAAGCGGGTTGCCAGGAAACACTGGATCTGTGGCTAAAGAAACACTGGAATGAGACAATCTGAATATAGTTGGACTCTTGTGAACTCAGAATGACTCAAGGTGAGTTAAACTTAAGCTACTTAAGGCTACTTAAGTGTAGTGAAAGACAGTACATTTTTTAAAAATGCACTTTGTAAAAAATTTATAAAATTAAAAGCTTTACTTTATACCACAACTTTTAAAAAATGCACTTTGTAAAAAAAAGTATAAAATTAAAAGCTTTACTTTAAAGTATATTTTGAAATTATTGTTTTAATTGTCATGCCTTAAAGAAGTACACTTAGTTTGAGGTACTGACTTATTTAAGTACATTAGAACTTTATAACATTGCAACTTCATTATTACAAATGTGTAATTACAAATTTATTTAAATATATGGCATACAAGTTAAATACTATTTTGATTTATTATGTTAACTAAAATACATTTTCATTTAATTGCAAAAGACAATCAAGTGTCTGATTACATTTGAGTACATTCAGTTCACACTTAAGTATATTCTTTTAAAGTATATTACATTATATCTATAGTAAGTACTATTTTTAAAAGTATGCTTGTACTTCTTTTTCACAGGGAATTGACCTCCTCTTAATTTAATCATAATCATAATTTAATCATAATTTCAACGTTTTTCAGTTTGTAATTTTCAAGGGATATTATGTGTGGTTAAACTTTCTTTGTGAGTTCACTTTTGGCCCACAGAACACATTAGAAGCATCATGTAGAAACGAAATATTGCTAAATGATTAAATCAAACATAAATACTAATGGTATTATTTTTTTTCTCACCATGTGTCACTTTCTCCAGCTGGTCCACTCTTCCTGTCAGGTGGCTGATCTGCTCCTCATGTTGATCTACTTTTGCCTGCATCTCTTTAAGTTTGTCAACTTCAGGACCTAGGTTCTCCAGGAGATCTTTGTTTTGGTCCAGGAAGTCCAGGAGACTCTTCATGTCCTGAGGTTTTTCCTTAACATTAAGTCATGTTTTAGAACAGACATGCTGCAGTTCACACAGTTTAGTGTTGATCTACTGTACTTACTTTGACATTTTCATCTAGGTTCCCCTCCAAGCATGAGATAAAGTCTTCAATCCTATCTTTCATGGCCTGCTGCTCACGGTCCAGAACATTCTGGCGGTCTTTCACGGTCTGGAGATCTTCCTGTTGGCCATCTACCTCACACGGGGCTTGATTGAAATTCTTGTCCAAGATGTTGTAAAACTACACAGGAATTTGAAAAACGTATACATAATACAATTAGAATTGAAGAGCAACATCCTAATAATAAAATGAATCATTTTCCATCCACCTGTGTTATCTCCTTTTCCAAGTCTTTCATTTCTGGGACATGAGGTTCAAGCTCCTCGGCCAGCTGCAGGAGCGTTTTGTGATGCTTTTTCATTTCCTCATTGCTCACTTTGAAGTCAGGTGAATGCATTACATTGTTCCGTACAGTTATTACCTGAATTGTTGAATAAAAATAAGTGTAAAATGTGTTATCCAGAGAGCTGCAGTGTTTGAATATCCGTACCGATACAGTGGTCACGTACTATAGCACGAAGCTTACAACACATGTAGAAGTTATGAATTATGTAATGTTGAAAAATCTATTTGGCAGGGAAATATAGGTTATTTCCTCCTCAGTGTACTTACGTCTCTCACACATTGTCCTGGGATCTTGAAATGTTTACAGAAATTCATTAAGTTTAGGATGGCAGCAATATCAAACTGGTCAAACTTGCGATGTTTTGTCTGCCCACGTGGCATATGTGCCTGTCATAAGAAATATGAGAGACATGCAGTCAACAATGTTAAAAAATGTAATGCACGTAGATTTTTGTTGACTGACACCAAACATCTAAATATAACTCTCCCCATATGCAGCAGGACAATATATCAATATTATAACAATATTATTTCCAACAGACAGCACTCAGTGGCAACACTCTATGCTTATTAAAGATGAAAGCAACTTACTTTGGCAACTTCCCACTTATCTGTGGGCCATAGATGAGGCCGGCAGTTGTCCCAGTACATACGATTACCATTCCCATTATGATTGGCAACGATTTCCTTCTTCCAGTGTTCACACAACCGGCAGAGATGCTGCGGAAAGAAGCAAAGCACAGTTTGGGAGACATGGACAGACTCTCCCAGAAACTTTCTGTTGATACACATTTTTATTTAATATGGCAATGACATTACTATTATTCAAAATTTGTAGTGTTAAGGATAGATAGATAGATAGATAGATAGATAGAGATACATTACATTACATTTACAATTTACCTTATTCGCACGTTCGCACTTTAGCGCACAGGTCTGTCTATTGAGCTGAGGTTTGTTTCGAAGAGAACTGTGATAAGTTTCGGTTTCCTTTTCGATGAAGCCCTGAATGCGAGTCCTCAGTATGTAAAGACTCTCCGTTGTTTTCAGCCAGTTTTTGTAGTTTTCATCACTGAAGCGACTGTAAGATTGTGTGCTGCTCATGATCGCTAATTAAAATCGCAGAAATCGATCCCTCTTTTGTTACAGTAGAGCTGCGCTGCGATGTGCCTTCACTGTCTTCAGCAGGTCAGCTGACTCCTGGAGTTGCCAGATACTCGAAAAGTCAACATCGCGCTTTATTAAGGAAAGGGAGATAATAACGCGTTTGTTGATATTCTTCAGTACCATGGTAACGGTGATTAATAAAGTAAAATGGAATCTCCTTAATGTTCGTATTGTAAATATCGCATTAAAACGATCTTGTAAACATTTTTGTTTTCATTATTTATGTTTGCTGCGTTAAAATTAGTACTACATTGTCCCAGACCCAGAATTGTTCTAAAATTAAAACATATTCAATATGAATATTCATTATTACGTTTGTAGCCCTAATTATTATCCAAAGAGAGTTACAATTTATTTATTTATTCATTCATTCATTCAAAAGTTAGTGTAGGCCTGCTTGTTTACAATAGTGTCAGTGAAAAGACAGCAAATGAAATATAAGGCGTGATATTTGAATAAACAAGGAAAAATCAAGGTAAATATTACTTGCAAGTGAACACATGTGAATAGACTTGTATGCAACACTTATAATTGAAGTTATATGTAATTTAAGATAGGAGCAAGAGTTCATAAAGAGAGAAACATAAAAGAGCTGTTAGTTAATAGCGCCATCTAGTGGAGATCGGAATGAGCTTTTATTGACACAAATTTGTCTTGATAAAAGACGGAAGTTTCAAGTCCACAGAAATACAAGAAAATAAATACAATTATATATATATATATATATATGTATGTATGTGTATGTGTGTGTGTGTGTGTGTGTATATATATATATATATAATCTTTATAATAATATATAATCTATATAATAAGTGTAATCTTCAAAGATTATCTTGGTTTGCATGTGTCTTGGATTGCTAAAGTTCTCATCTTGTCTCAGTATGTGTTGAACATGCAGTGCAGTAGCAGAGTTTAACAGGAGGCCAGGTGTCCCCTGGCAGGGCTCCTCTTTCAAACACGATCCTCCATCTGTCTCTTTTTTGCCTCTCCTTTCTTCATTTGTTCATCGGTAGGGAAGAACAAGGTGAACTCTGTCCCTGATGCTTTTACATAAGACTGGACGATTATTAATCAGGCATTATAAATAAAAGTATATCTGTGAAAAGCTTATTTAATAACAATCATTTTAAGTTGTCTGATGCTCCATATACAAGTGAGGTTTTAATTTCTGGGCTCCAAAGGTTTTTGGTTCTATGGGTTAAAGTGATAGCTCTTTAACTTGCCTTCTTAGTAATTACACTGAAATGACTGGGTTGTTGCAAAGTGAAGTTTTTTGCTCTGTAATAACAGTGTAGAATGTGCTGAATCCCCATGGAAAACTGAGGTCATCATTATCTCATGAGAAAAGACTGTCTAAACATGCAGCAGCCACACAGATATGCCAGTTGTGTGATCACTGTTACCAAATAGAATATAACTGGTGGTTTCGATTAGTGGCAAAAATGTAAAAATTATAGTTTATAGTCTGGACTGAGGAAAGCCAGACTTTTCACCTTATAAAACATCTCAGGTTGGCTCAACTTCCAGGATCTGGTGATGGGGTTTATTTATTTATACAAATGGTCAAGAATTCAAAATAATACAACATCCCATAATAGTACAGATAAATACTAGTACAGATTCCGTACTTGTTAAATTATTAAATTTTGTTACATATTATAGATCAAAATTACATGCTGCCAGATGTAAGGGGTTTGCCAATTATTTTTGGAATACATTTTTTAAATAATGTATTATTGCACACACAACACACACTTATGTATAGATGTGTGTGTGTGTGTAGTATATCAAAGCATATCAAATATATCAGTATATCAATTAGGCCTATACATTTTAATCAGTATTGATATGATGAGATTGTAGTGTGTGCATAAATTCTGCAGACTATAAAAAAGTTTTAATGTTTTTTATGTTATTACATAAAGTCTAAAAACCATAGTTTTAATATTCTTATATTTTGATAAATTATTTTATTGTTATCATCTATTTTTCCTAATAATTAATTTTAAAATTAATTTAATGTCAAATCAATGTCGCTTAAAATGCATCTTTTTAAAACCAATAAATAAAATAAATAAAAAAAATTACAAAATTGTAAGTGGTATCCTTCCACTGGAAAATATAGTCCCTATATGTAACAAAACTAATGATCCGCAGTGATATAATAAACAGGTCTTTCTCGTCGTACCTAATACTATATTATGGATTTTAGGCTGTTTATTTACCATTCAGAAGCCTGAATAGGAATTATCCGCTTTATAAAACAGCAGCATAGTTATCCTTTCTTTAAAACAGAGCATTATATCCGTCAAATACGGTAATCTCCTTCTATCAATGACGGCACTGGCTCCACCCCCTGCCTCAGAGGCCCCGCCCATCCCGTGCGCATCCCGTCCGCATTCTGCAGGAGGCACGGGAAAAAAGGGATAGACCATTCCGAGAAACTAGAGGGGTTTAGTGGTTACGGATCACTGTTTTAATTCGCATTAACTCACGTTTAGACAATACAGCAGAGTTTTGTGATTTCAAATTTAGTATTTTGTAACTAAATAACAACAGGGCCCCCCCCGGAAAAGTGGGGGGGGGGGGGGGGGTTATTACGTACCACTGTTTTAATTCATATTCACCCACGTTTAGATATTAAAACTGAATTTATGTAATTTTAGTTTGAGGTTTTTGTAACTAAATAACAACAAAAGAGTACTTTGTACCAAAAAGCTAACACCTGGCACCGACCAAATTTCGTTCCACCCTTTCCCAAACTGCGCCTTGAACTCTACCGTACTGCTGCCATGTTGGATTGAAGGAACGTTATTGCTTTAGGAGTTCGGAATGAAAGTTTATATTATGCAGTCTGTCAAAAGTGAACGAATTAAAGAATAAATAACCCACAGGAGTAAACGAGTCGCATCTGCATCGCCCGCGCATTGAGGACAACACTACATCGGCTCTAACGTTACTTGCATGCGGAATTCCTTACGGGATGAACGGAGCGCAGGCCATGTTGATCTGTGATTGCACATAAAATAATCTAATACGAGACAAACGCTCAAGTTCATCCGCCTCATCCGTCAACATGAGCGGCCACCCGCCCCAGCGGAGGGTGGCAAACGTGGGCTCTCTGCTTCTGACCCCGCAGGAGAACGAGTGTCTGTTTAACTACCTGGGCAGGAAATGCATCGTAAGTTGTGTTTACTCTCACGGCCGATCTGTAACGTTAATCCTTTAACCGCAAATTCAAATGCAAGCCATATTGCTTTTCAAATATCCAGTGATGTGACGCAATCGAACGGCGGTAACTTCTGGCAAGGACAGTTGTGTTTTAACGCGTTTGTGATGTCCATCTACATCCTCCTCACTGTCAAGGGAATGAGACTCCTGTGATTGAAATTAGATGATGTAGTAACTGGTATAAGGTATTTGTATGATTGTGAGTTGGGAATTATGTATTCCATGTGATTTCAGAGTAAATGGCAATAGGCCTTCTGCTTGAGTGAAGGCTGGTTCGACAAAACCTAGTGAGCTACCTACGAAGACAGCATCATAAGTGCATTCTGAGTCAGCTAAATGATGCAGGTGCCGATGATGCCCAGATATGCTGTCTATGTAGGCAGCTCACTAGCTAATGTAGGCTACTGTCTCAGATGACCCTCAAACTCCACCAGATGTGTCAGTTATCTATCTATCTATCTACCTACGTCTCGGTCTATCCTTCTAGCTGTCTATATGTGATTCTATCTAGCCTATCTATATGTGAAGCTATCGCTATGTCTATTTACATGTCTTTCTATCTGTTATTCTGTCTGGGAATCTCTCTACCTCTCTCTCTATCTATTTCTATCTGTGTCTTATCTAGGCCTATATGTATTTCTATCTGCTATTATATCTGTATGTAACTGGATTTAGTTAGTACAAATTACAGCAAGGCTTTTGTTTCTGTGTTCAGTGTCAAGTAGCTAGTTATCCATTTCTGCTCAAAGTGTTAATACATTTATTTATATTTAATAACCTGCAACAATTTCTGGAAAACATCAAATTTGCATTGAAAGGAAACGTTCAGTTTGTTGTCCCTGCTAAATGAAACATCTATTCTACAGCCCTGATTATTATACCTAATTTAGCTAAATTGTCAGAAGTGAAGATATTTGGTCTTTACACTAGTTATTTATGGTTGTCTTGTCTGTCCTACTTGAGGACCCATAGTTACAGTATTTGGACACTTGCAAATGTTTAAGTCTTCATTTGCATTGTTTAACAAAATATAAAACCAAATGACATTTATTTATGAAGTTATTTAATAAAGTTATGCAGTATAATACACTTTTGGATCACAACATTTTACAGAGAGAAGTTTCAAGACTGATAAAACAATACATACATTAATCAATTTAAAAGGATATTTCACCCAAAAATGAAAATTACCCCATGATTTACTTAACCTCAAGCCTTCCTAGGTGTATATGATTTTCTTCTGTCAGATGAATACTTTCGTAGTTAGCTATATTAAAAATGTCTTGGCTCTTCCAAGCTTTATAATGGCAGTAAATGGTGGTTGAGATTTTGAAGCCCAAAAAAGTGCATCCATCCATTATTAAAAAGTGCTCCACACGGCTCCAGGGGGTTAATAAAGGCCTTCTGAAGTGATCGATGCCTTTGTGTAAGAAAAATATCCTTATTTAAAACTTTATAAACCGTAATCTCTAGTTTCCACTAACTGTCGTACGCGCATTCACGAGAGAGTGGCATTCCAGCGGATGAAGTAGGACGTATGCGTAGCGTAAGCTCCGGTGAAAACTAAGCAATCGGCAATGAATCGCCTGCGATTTTGAAAGCGATTTTGTGTAGCTTGTCAGTGATCTACGGCTCTGTGTATTAAATGCTGCTCCATCTGAAAGCAGGTGATGGAGATTTTACTACTAATCACGGAACCGGCTTTACTGACGAGATGCGCATGACAATCGCATGCGATTAATTGCACAGCCCTATTAACACCAGTTAGTTTAAAATAATCTGACAAAAG